TGGCCAAATTACCGAAACACGACTTAATTGCCAAAGTTACGCGCTCACTTGCCATCCTTGCCCCGATTGGCCAACTCGTGATACCTTAGAGTCATTAACGTGTTATCGACAACTCAGCATCTGACTCGGACCCTCCTACATCACAATACAAAAGTAACTACCTATTGTCTACCTCGCCCTTTAGATATGCAAACTTTTACCTTTCACATGATGTCATCATTCTCTTCCAGAATTATCATGACATCAAGTTCTTTGAGAAAGCTACAGAAAGCCATCATGAACACGTACAAGCTTTTTTTATATTGTGCGAAACTATCATCCCTGAGAGAATGTCATTAGACGCCTATTTCCTCACACAGTAAAGGAGGGCACAAAAGCATGGCTATACTCACTACCTGCCGGGATTATTATATCATGGAATAACATGGTGCAAAAATTTATTAAAAATTCTTGCCGCCTCTCGAGTCTACCAAATTTGAAACGATGTCTATACATTCAAACACAGGATTCTTGAGACATATACGAAGGCATGTGAAATGTTTATTGCTTTATATATGATAAAAATAAAAAAAAAATTGAACATTTGAAAAATTCAAAAATGTTTTTTTAGTTAGTTTCTTTTTAGTTTGTATGCTTGTGTAGATTAGTTAGCATGTTTGGCAATGATGAATATACTGAAATTGTGTTTTGATCTATGAATGGTAAATAGGTTGCATGCTTAGATTAATATATAACGCTTTTCTATGTGAAATTCGATATTTATAGCACACATGAATTGAGTTAGGTATTGTGATTGAATGTGTTTGATTCATATTTGATAGGTTGAAATAGTGAACTTTAGATCCTAAATTCAAACCATTAAATTATACACCCTTAAACCAAATTTAGCATAGTTTGTGGTGATTTCACTGTTGTACGAAGATATTGAGACTAATGGAAATTTTGTATGAAAAAACTTATGTGGATTGCCTAAAATCATTATAATAAAATTGGGTGAAGTCTTAAGTTAGATGTCAGTTTATTTTGAATGTGTGTTTAATAAAGGGCATTGTACTAATTAAAAAATGAAAAAAAAATTATTTGAAAATTTTTCTTTGTAACTCCTATGACTTGAGTTATTAAGAATGTAAGGGTGTCGAAAACCTATTTCCCTAAAGTCAGCTCCCTTGGAAGTTATTGACCAAAAACTCTCTCTATATGGGTCACTTAAAAAGTTTAAATAAAAGAGTGTTGCAAATAACTAAAAATTGAAAAAAAAAATTAAATAGAAAATCAGAAAAAACAAGTGCATAAAACAGAAAACACACAAATTGCTTTGATTATGGCCTCAAACACTTGTTTAAGAAAATTTGACTTTTAATAAAAGATTATTAGCTTAGTTGAGTTATGGAGACTGAAGCAATCAAATTAATTAGAGATCCTTGCTTGTTGAGATAGTGATTGATAATTTGTGAAATTCATTTAAACTAGAGAGGTGAAGATGATTAGAATGATTCAATCTTAGATCACATAATAGAAATAGAAAATAACGAAAAAAATGAGTTTGAGGGTATGCGAATCTCACAAGTGATGATATGACATATTTGACCATTAAGGGTTATGAATGAAACTATTTATGAATTAACTATGTTCTACTTAATTCTTTACACACACACATACACATGTCTGTGTTGCATTGAAAAAGTGGATAATGATTTTTGTAATGTGATCTGGAAGCTATTTGTAGAATTAATATCATGATTTCAATCATGAGATAAAAAGTCAAGCTATCTAACTAAATCTTCTTCCATGATTGTATGTTTGTTTTAAAAGTTTGTTATAGTTTTGTTTAAGGACAAACAAAGATTCAAGTTTGGGGATTTGATAAGCGTATTTTCTACACTTTTTCGGGCCTTAAATATTTTGACTTCTTTTTGACAAAATCTGGCCTAATTTGTGTTATGTTGTGTTTAATAGATAAAACTCGATGATGGCATGAAGAATTGGAAGGAAGAACGGAAAAATGACGAAATCCAAGCTATGGGGACTAAAGTATAACAGTTCAATAGTTGTGTCGGATTGGAAGACAGTGATTCAAGAATTTAAGGGTCAATTGGAGGTGAAGAGAAGTTAACGGGGTTTAAAAATTGTCGAAATGATCAACACACACACTTAAAAAGGTTCAGGAACTAATATGCATTTTTGTCCAAAAATAGTAATACCATGTGTACGCATAGGCCTGCAGGCCAGTGTGCATTCAAACTTTATTTGGGTTGACTGAAGCTAAATTGAATGAATTATGTGTGCACTCAATTGAACCATGTGTACGCATGATCAATTCCTGAAGGAAAAATTTTCTTTCTATATTTTGTTCTACCTTATTTTGGTATTCAATATTTTGGCACTCTGTATAAAGTCTAAAATGTCCAGAACGTCCCTAATCCCCAAGAACTAAAACTCTACATATTTCATCTATTTTGGAGGTGAAGAATGATGCCAACCATCAATTCAAAAGTGGATTTTCTCCACTTTCTACCATAGTTCTTCATTCCGAGGTGATATTATTTTCTTCATAGGATGTTAGGCTAGATTTTTTCACTGTATTGGATAATTGATGAACCCTTTTGCGCATTTAGGGCGATTAATTTAGTATTTCTTGATTAATTTTCCTTTTCCATCATAATTATTTGATTGCTTAGCTACCAATTAGATAATAAATTGCTTGTTGTAGTGTAGGATTACTCACAATGAGTTTAGAACATGGCAAAGCTAACATGTGTAGTTAGAATTATGAATAATCTCTTTCACACGTGCAATCACTTAGATAACCTAAACTAAATGTGTGATTTTCATATGATTCGGACTAGGAATAAGATCGGGTCATGAACTAAGAGTTGAAATAAATGGCAATAGAGAGATTCATGATTTCAATACAAGCATCTCACATTTGAAAACTTCACTTCTATTGTTTTAATGGATTAAAAGTAGTATAGAAAAACAAACAAATCACTCTCTTGATGTCACGTACACTTGAATTCATTAAAGCTATTGAACTAGACATTAGACCTTATTTTCGTGGGAACGATAAATTCAAAACTCACTATTTCTATTACTTGTACATCGATCTCGTATGCTTGCAGGTTTAATGTAACAAGCTGCAACCTCCTTCGTCTCTATCACTTTTCCACCAATAGCCACAAATATGAGTGGCTGACAAAATGCAGAATCAATCCAGGAAGCTCATTAGCAAACTTTTTAACTTCAATTTTTCCTAGAACTCAGTATCACACACAAATTATTAGGATTCTCATTACTTTGTAAATAACTTATTACTGGTTTTGATAATCCCAGAATCAAACGGCTCGAGTCATAGATATATTTCTTTTAGTGAAAAGATTCTCAAATTAATAATGTTATTTAACACCACTAGTGTCGTACCAATTTATTTAACAATTTGATGACATAAAATGACATATTCATTTTTTTTATAATCGTGGGAGTTTGGGTTAAGTTGCGCACACCTCGACCAATCCCACGAGGCCATAAGGTTTACGGTCGGATACTCACCTCAATGGCCTTGGGGGGACTCGAACTGGTGACCATTGTGGAGCAAAACCAAGGTCTGACCAATTGAACAATCTCTCAAGGTTAAAATGATAGATTCATTTAATTAAACCATCAAATATGACTATCTAAACTAGTGCTCTAACATCTCTGGTGCAAGATAATATTATTCTTCTCAAATGGATAGTTTTGAAAATAATATGTAATTGTTAGCAATAAATCAGTAACCCTTTACACTCTTATCTTTTATTGCAAATTTTCTTCCCTCACCTTTTTTTTCACTAATCAACGGCACAGATGAGTCATCCAGACTCACAATAACAGCTAGCCAGAACTACCATCAAACACCCAGTAACAACCATTTTTTACTCCATTCTTTTGCTTCAAAATTTTCGAAAAACAAAAAAGAAAACCCACAAATTATCATGTAGAATGCTGCTAGGGAAATGGGAGAGGAATGAGCTTATTAAATTTTAGAAAAAGAGAGAGAGAGAGAGAGAGAGAGAGAAAGTAAATGTATAACTTTTTAGAGACATTTGATTATAGATTTCACCGTAAATCAAAGATAACAATTAATTTTAATCATATATTTCATAATTATTCAATTACATAATATTGTATCAACTTTATCAAATTCTATTAAAAATTT